TTTACTAATAATATAATATGGTATATTGTATATACATATAATATTTATAATATTATAATGTACTACAATATAATACTAGTAATAATAATTCAATATTATAATTATAATTATATATTTACATTACATGTAATATTACTAATAATATTACAATATAATGGTATAGTGCAATATAGTAATATATACTGATATTGTACTATGCTAATAATATAATATATTGTATGAAAATATATATTGTAAGCCGCTCTGAGTCCCCTTCGGGGTGAGAAGAGCGGCATATAAATGCCGTAAATAAATAAATAATAAATAAATTTATACTTTGTTCCATAGAATTTAGAATACTACAAGAGGGTTGCAAGTGTGTTATATTGTTAATCATTATGAGTTATCACATTTGCTCAACCCATAAATGATCTCCAGGATCATCAATGTCCATCTTTAGCTTTCACATGAACAAGTATTTTTCATTTGCTTCAGTACTGAAGACATCTCTAAATGTGTTTGTGTTTGTTCCTTAAGGGACTGCCTATGTCTGTATATCTATGGGTCCTTCCACACACACAGTCCTGTATCCCAGAATATCAAGGCAGAAAATCCCACATTATCTGAGTGTGGATTCAGATAACCCAGTTCAAAGCAGTTATTGTGGGATTTTCTGCCTTGATATTCAGGGATATAGGGCTGTGTGGAAGGGCCCTATGTGGGGTGTATAAAGAGTCTTGAGCCTCCCTGTGAAGGAGCCATTAAGTGCTGTTTTCTGATTTGGGGCGGGTGCATCAGAAAAAAGGCTGACTCCTAGTAGTGAGAACCATGTTGTGGATCACACTGTCATGTTCCATCAGGACAATGTGCTGTGTAAGAAAATAACTACGGTGGCTTCAAATTATTACTGCACCCACCATATTCACCTGACCTCACACCGTTTATACCTTTTCCCCAGTATAAAAAAGCATGGAAGGAAAGCCATGAAAGACTGGTGCGACTCTCCAGAGAAATAATTTTCCTAAGAGTGGGCTAACCTGGAGTACAAATGTGATAACTGTGTACATGGAACAGTTGAGAAGTTTCATCACTATCAAACAGTCACATCACATGCCAGCTCAAGACATTTCATCCAGCTCTCATATGATTGCATATAATAAATAAACAATTTCCAATGAGCCTGCTCATCTTTCAGTATAAATATCATGAAATTCCAATATTTGTATATGTAGAGTGCTGACATTTACTCTGTGTTTCTGGATTTCATCACCACAAGTTGGGTGCTGAGTTAGTGATAATAAGAGCCAGGTAAATTCCAGATTAGTTGCTAAGTGACAAAGGAAGCTTCATTCTCTAAGGGCCCTTCCACTCAGCCGTATAATCCAGAATATCAAGGCAGATAATCCACAATATCTACTTTGAACTGGATTATCTGAGTTCACTGTAACATATAATCCAGTTCAGTGTGGATTTTATACAGCTGTGTGGAAAGGGCTTTAGTCTGAAAAGGTAGGGTGGGGAATTTCAAGAAGTAACCCTGTTTTGGGTATTGTATTTGGAACCAGACTGAAGTTCCTTTAGGAGTTATTGCGCATGTGTCATTGCTATTTTGGCCTAGATTTGGTTCTAGGATGAAAATCATGCTTGAAAATGTCTCTTGCCCCTAAATGGGATTTTATGTTCTTGAATGATTGATTGAATGACCAGTCAAAAGCCTCTGCATAACTTGAGTTTCAAACTGACTGATACAGTTATGATGAGATTTCAAATATTATCGTTTCAGATAATTTGTGGCAGAAGCCTTTCAGTAGAAGGATTGACACTCAGTGCCTTGAAGGAAGATGATTACAAAGCGGTCTTTATTGGAATTGGTAGGAATTCATCATTCTTTTCTGAATTCCATTTTACTGGAAATATTGTATATATGATTAATGCTGCAATAAACGGGCCATGTTTCTGTGTATCGGCAAGAGACCTTTAAACACTTCTACTGCTAAAGTGATATAGTCACAATGTATGGGTTTTTACCATCCTCTGACTAGTTTTAATGTGACCTTATGTAGAAATGACCACTTTCCCCAGTACATAATTACACCTATTACCTACATGAAATATTTCTCTGGGGCTGTGGAACTATGGAATAGTGTTGGCTTTGACAATCACTGCTGTGTTACATTAGGAACGGAGTTAATAAAACCTGAATCAATATGTTCCAGTACAATTATCACATTCCTAAGGAGCACTTTGTTTAATAGATGTCACTAATTTAGTCAAGATCTCAATATGATCATTAAGCAACAAAATTCCTTAGGGGACTTATTTATACTAAATTAATGTCAGCAGACTGGAAGATCAACATTATATATTTTTTAAAAGCTCGCCCAGTTATACAATGTATTTAGGTATTTATTTTACTTTTTGACTATAGTGTAAAAGAGGAAGTTTTATGTACCTGTTTGTGTGCCATTTTCATTTTACCCTTTTAAGATCATTTTGTAAATAGTTCTTATTTTGTGCTTCACTCATTGTTTCACAAAAGGACACCTTTGTCTAGATACCCATCAAGCTGCCAGTCTGCATAGAATTGAAACATTTCTTCAGATTATCAATTGGATTAATTGCTTAAAACCGTTGTTTAAAATTTCGATATGTCCACAATTAATTGTGTAGCACTTGCTTTTAAAAATGTTTTAACGTGTGCTTCTAAACAACGGTGGTAAGCATTGTCTTAAAGCTACGTTCCTCTTATCTCACACACGGAGTAACACCTCTTTTCAATGATGTCTGTTCTGACATGTATGTGAATCATTCCGCTGGAGAGGCTCTGCTCTTGGTCCCACCTCCTTCACAGGTGCATTTGGTGGGGACAAGAGACAGGGCCTTCTCAGTTGTGGCCTCTTACCTATGGAACTCCCTCCCCAGTGAAATTAGAGCAGCCCCCTCCCTCCTGACTCTCAGGAAGAAAGTAAAAATGTGGTTATGGGACCAAGCCTCTGGATAGCAAGTTTTAGTGCAATAAGAGAATCTGGAATAGGAAAATGCCAAATGAATGGCCTTAGATCATGATTTTATATGACACGATTTTAATAATTGGTTTTAATATTTATATGTTTTATTTTTTTGTTTTTAATGCATTTGTTTATTTTACTGTATGTATGTTTATGGCATCAAATTACTGCCTATCTGTAAGGCCGCTCTGAGTCCCCTTCCGAGTGAGAAGGGCGGGATATAAATGTAGTCAATAAATAAATATTTTATTTTATTTATTTATTTCTAGTATTTCTATCCCATTCCTTCTCAGCCCCAAAAGGGGGACTCAGGACAGCTTACATTTGGCAGCAATTCGATGCCACTACATATAACAGAGCAATATAATATCAATTAAAACAATAAGTAAAACATTCATTAAAACAGTAAAAAAAAACAGTATTAATAGCCGTATCATCATTCCAGTCAATTCCATATCCAGTTCCAGACTCTTAATAAATAAAGTAAGCATGAAACTTATATCAGAAATGTTTTTGTCCTTATCAAAATCATATGTAGACTTGGTCAAATAATTGTTCATGATGGAATATGTGATTAATCAACAAAAGAGTCTGTAACTGATCTGGTAGGAAGTTCTGTGTTACTGATGTACTTTCTGGACATTGTGAGCCCTCTATTCCTCATGCAACTTCTAAACAAGGTTTTTGATTGTTATTTTTTTACCGAGTTATTGAGCCTGTGTTGAAATAAACAGGAGTTCCTAATTTGGTCTGTACTTTAGCAAGAAGTAGGGAAGGAAGCATGCAAGATCTGAGTGTCTTTGGTCTCACTGGTGAAAATGGGGAATAGCATCCAGATAAGTCTTTTTTTATATCCCAAAATTACATAATTTTTAGTTGACAGATTATACAGGTGACATCTAGATGATGCACATGACATTTTGGCATAAATATGATCTAACTGACAGGAAGAATAAATGTACATCACTCTAGTTGTGCCTTCTCTTTCTCAAAAATAATGTTTAGAGAACTTTAGAAAAACCTTCAGCCAAATGATATGCAAAATAGATGTCATTCTGGTAAAACTTATCTTGTATCCTTTACTATGTTGTGAACGAAAAGCTGGTGTAATGACTTTTCAAGTGAAATGTGTGTTGATCTGCTTAAGAGTGTGTACCCAAATCCCTCCCCAGCATACGCTAAGCAAATTGAGTATGCACAGCCGAGAGTGGTATGAGACTTAATGCTCTTTATTGATCTAGACGTTGCCTAAGTGAACATAATAAGAAACAAGTTGCCCAACTGTTCTTTTTTCCTGTTATTGATTACAAGCGTGGTAATTCTTGGTACAGCAACAACTGTTGTTCTCCATCTGGGTATTCTGTATAATAAGCTTTGCAGGTTCATTCTCTCATGTGATTATACTACAGACCATTGTGATTTATATAATCCTAAATCCTTTCATTGTTCAAGGCCTTCCATGCGTAGGAATTTCCACGGGGTCATATTTCTTGATAATTGTACATGAGGCAGTGTGCCAGGTTACCATCCCTCTTGATTTAATCCATCTGACAAACCATGTACCCTTCATTCTTCTTCTCACCCTTTGCTTTGGGGAAACAATCCCAGAAGTTAAGTGGGAATACATAAAGACATTTGGTTTTTCTCTGCAACACAGAGTGAGGTTAAATTTCAGCTGTTTTTCTGTATTGAAATTACCTTACAGGTACAGCTGGGATTTTGTTAGGTTCAGAGAGCAAGAAAGAGGCAAGCCAAGGGAAAAAAGTAAATCAAGAACTCATTTCTTTTGACCTACTTGCTTATCTTGATCTTATGTGCAGTGGAACACATGAAGTTGCTGTACACTCATGCCCTTGATCTACCTGGCCTAGCCTTATCCCCTTTTCCTGACAACGCCTCCTCAGGGATTCAGACAAGAGTTTCTTTCCTAGTTCTGCTACCATAGGTCATTTTTAATGGGAAATACCAGGGATTGAATGTGGAGAACTATGTGTGTCTTGCCTGTGAATTATAGATGGCCCCACTCATGCACTGTTTCTGATCAAACCATCCCATGATCCCAGCCAGGATTCAAGAGTGCTTCAGTTGACGTTCCATTGTATTCACAGAGTTGTGAGTGGACTAAAACAAAAAATGTTATCATGGCAAGAACAGTGGATTTACTTTACCGCATGCTTTATATTGTGCACTGAGAGAATGTTCAGTGCTAAAAGTTTTTAAGACTCCTTCTTAGTCTGCTTGAAAATGACACGAATAAGGGCTTTCTCAAATCACTATACAAAGTGTACACGTTTTTGGTAAGCAGGTTCTGGAAAGTATGAATCCTTATCAGCAGCATCACGGCAAAGACTGACAAAATAGAATTTGGAAAACTTACTTTTATTGGACTAGTCCAAAACAACAAAAGTAATTTTTCCAAACTTATTAACATGAGTTCATGGAAAAGAAGCTCTATGGTGAAAAGCAAAAGCTTATCTGAATGCAGGTTTCAGAGGAGAAATGGGGGATTACTTTTCTTTCTGTGCCTTTCCAGATGCCAAGGCCACTTAAAGAATTTTTTGCAGCTTGAAGCAAAATGGCAAATGATATCTTGCTCTTAGTCATAGTGCTTTGTATCAAGGTTAGTCAAGTTATTTGACATCTTCAATGCCGAATTCAAATCACAACTGCTCCCTTTCCCCCACTTTTCTGGAAAAAAAAATGTGATGGATACAAATCTAACCATAGTTATAATTTGTTGTTGTGTGCTGTAAGGAAGCGTAATCCCACCTAAATGGGATTACCAAAATTAAATAAATATGTATGTTAATCCACCTAATTTCAACCTAAATTATAAGGAAGTCCCAAAATTGCTTGATTACACTGCCACCATTATATATATATATAGAGACGTTGGAATTAAAGTCTCTATTTATCCCTATCTGCGTTGTGAGGCAACTTTGGTAGAGTGGATTGCACCAAATGTAAAATCAATGGAGGAGGCAGATTTATAACACAGAGAGAACAAGTTTATTGTTAACAGAGCGTAATTGTTGCAATACTAAGATGTTGAACTTGGCACAAGCTTGATGGTTACAATATGGCTTGGTAGAGATACATTCAGGCTTCTGATGTTACAATCCTTTAAACTCCTCTTCAGTGAAGTACTTTATTATTTCAGTGTTCCCTGTTGTGAATATTCACTCTGTTTGTCCTATACCGGATCAAACCACCGATCTCCAGTCTTTCACTACTGGGATCCCTAAAACCCCCTTTGTTAGATTCTTTTTAACACAAGCAATCTAACAAGGTTTCACCTTCAGCTCCCTTGCTGAAGAAATATTCACAAATGCTAAGAACTAACTGAATCTATACTGCTTCACCACACAGAGCCCTAACTGACTCCGCTCCTCTTCTCAGGGTCTCATCCTCCTGACTACTCATTAACTGTTACTTTCAAACCTTTTTCTCCTTAAGCTCCGCCCACCTTCTCCTCTGCCTTGTCACCATGGCAACCTATCTCTCACAGCTAGGCCATGGCCACGCATGTAAAACATAAATACAGTTTAAACACAGTACAATAAACCCTTTATAATAAACACTTCTCTACATGTGCCTTCAAGTTGTTTCTAACTTATGGCGACTCTAAGTCCATTAGGTTTTTTGAGCACAATTTGTCCAGGGATGGGAACTGCATTTCTTTTCTTTTGAGACTGAAAGCATGTGACTTGCTCAAGGTTACTCTCTAGGATTTTCATGCCTACACAGGGATTCAAACCCTGGTCTCAAGTTGTAGTCCAATACTGAAACCATTACATCATGCCAGCCCTGATGTTTAGAACAAATTCTAATAAATCAAAGTATTATAGAGTTGGAAGAGACCA